GGCTATAAGGCCAACAAGTTAAGATCAAAAATGAGTTTTTTATATGGTCATTGCATCGTTACAATTGTTTTTCCTACTTACTATCCGAATACATGTATGCAAGTTATAGCTGCCATGAGGTTTTAGCAACATTAAGCACCTTCTTAATCGTTCCTGTGCCATCAGCAAGTACATTCAGACACCCATGTTCTGTGTTTTTACGGGTCTAGAAGGGTTCTCACACAAGATTACTAGGTTACAAATAACTTACAGAGAATCTGAAGCACTGAATTTCAATGTGTAGGTGGTACCTGGTTTCAAATGAAATGCAGTGAGTGCAGAGTTGCCGAAACTCTGCTGATATGTAAAAATGTGACTTTTCACCCCCAAACCCCCATTTTTCTTTTAAGTGAAAGTATTAGAAAAAGCTACAAATGGACCTTAAAAAAATCGAATGGATTTCATGCTTATTTTCAGTCAAGTTTTAACCTGTAAACTTGACCTGCAAATCACCACATCAGTGCTCACAGACAAACAGCATAGCCTCCGTGTGTTGTTAGGCATTGATTTGCAGCAATTCTGAGACTCTGGATCTCAGCTGCAATCACCAGGGAGTGTTTGCATCGAGCAGTCTGTATTTAAAGTCTTTGAGTCGGTCCAGTCCTCCCCTCTGGGCCACCGCTCTGACCAGGACACTAATCACAGCCTCGGGAGAGGCAGTCTTGGTCACATCCACAGCTACCAGCCAGCATACACACCTCACCACTTCACTGATTATTCTTCACCGTCCTGGAACAGATGTATTCAAATGTAATGGCCCGAGCCAAGAGACACGCACGCTCCAACCAGAGACAAATGGGAAGATGCGTTCACGCAGCAAAGCTTTACACATAGAGGCACAAAGCTGGATGAGAGTACGAGAGAGAGCATCTTCCTTTGTGTCTATACGATGAACTGCAGAGTATGTTGCAGGCACAATGATAACAGAATACAATTAACTTCAAATGGTTTCACTGCACATATAAATCTCTCTCTCTGCAGGGTCACAAATGACTTAACTCCTTCCGTAAAGACGAAGCTTCTAATTGCACATTGTTCTGTGTGCTGTGATACTCACACTGTCGATTGGCACACTGTTCAAGAGAATTAACAATTTATCTCCGCGGGAATACATTAGCAAACTATCAGGACATCAGGCCAACACCGCAACATGTGTCTTAATCGTCATTTTCACAGCATTATAAAAAGAAAGAAATAACATAAAGAGGACACCTTTAAGTTGCGTGTATGACCACACAGAAGCAAAAAAGCTGATTTACATCTCCACCTCTGGTTTACCTTCAGGTTTGACTGCAATCTGCTAGTGCTGTCTTTTTCTCGTGACCTTGTTTTGAAGCGTCTTTGAACAGAATGGAGCAAAATTGAATCTGACAGAGCATCTGCCTTCACCACTCGCTCAGTCAGAGATGAAGGCCTGAATGATACTCGTTATAGATTAATTACAGCCTGACAGAAGACAGACACGCAGAGGAAACAAAGTGGACGAGCTCGTCAGACGTCCAAGCTGATGCCACTCGCCTCCACGGCGGCAGCTAAGCGCTTCTTCTGCTACAGCTTTGAGAGAAAATGTAAATTCGGCCTCTGTGATGTGTAGAGAATACGGAAATCTGAGCCACTAAGGTCACTGCGAGTTGACGGACGCTTGTTTCTTCTCCTTTTTTTAAAGTTCAAACCATCCTTCGCTAGACTCACAGAGCAGCGAGCGGATCGATTAGTCAGTGCACAGCAGCAGGCCTCAGCTCTAAAATTCAGGAGAGGGCTTTAAATTCAAAAAAGCAGGAGATGTGTCATTGCTGTTCACGTTGGTCAAACTTTTATGTAATTTTTTTTTCTTTTTTTTGTATGAGGCTCCATGTGTACCCAACCAGGACTTTAAAAACAACCTTTATTAATAGATATGGGCTGGGATTTGGGCAAAAATGGCTGTGTGTTGGTTAGTGTAACTGCAGAGATTCATTTTGTTTCTGTGGATGATAGTTATGATGATGATGATGATAATGATGCTTCCATGCTGCTTCAGCCAGGGTCACGACAGCTGCCACGGTGGGTTGAAGAACTTGATGGCATGAGACTTTGCCCACTTGGCAAAAACGGACTTCTCCGTGATGAAACGGTGTCCTCCATATGGGGCACTCTCATGCAGGAGATACTCAGCACACTCGTCTCGGCTGCCCGCCTCGTAATAATGGTAGGGAACTTTTTTGTAATCCTCTGTCCTAAAAAGAAGAAGAAGAAGAAGATTATTTACACATTATTTACACAAACTTTCATCTACAATTGTTTGGGAGTGGCACTATACCTCCTCTGCACATGTACAGACCATCTTTGCTATATCTCGCTGACTTTGTCTCCAAACGGCTCAACCTGAGCTGTCTGTCTAATAAACTCATTTCTAATTTTGTCTATCCTGGTCACACTCAGTGAAAACCTTAACATCTTTAACTTTGCCACCTCCAGCTTCGCCTTCTGTCCTTTTGTTAGTGTCACTGTCTCCAAACCATAGCAGTTCTCACTACAGTCTTTTCTTTCAGTCCCAAATTACCCCTGACACTCATCCTCACTGATCGTCAGCTGTTTTCTCAGTCTAGCTTCAACAACTCTTTCCTATATCATCATGATATGGGTTATCAACTTTATACCTCTGTAGTTACTACAGCTCGGCACATGACACTTGCTGTTGAAAATCAGTACCAACAGACTTCTCTGTTCTTCGGGCATTCTCCAACAGTCTGGTTAAAAAGTCCACTGCCCTCTCTCCTAGACATCTCCATACCCTCCACAGGTATGTCACACCCATATCAGCTGCTTTCCACTCTTCACATCTGCCCTCACTTCCTCCTTCCTAATTCTCAGCACTTTCTGATTGACCAATTTTCCTCTTCTTGCTCTCATTTTCTTCATTCATGAGCTCCTCAAAGCACTCGTTCCATTTTCTCAGTACACCCTCTTCACTTGGGGATGGCACTGCATATGTGGGAAAAAAGCTATTAAAAAAATTCAGCCCACTCCTCATCTGTGTCTGAGATCAGCTTGAGGCTTCATTAGCCACCACACATATTACATTCGAATTTCCAGCTGACCTGTCAGTGGTTCAGTTGCACTGTGAGTACTGTGGGCGGTAGGTTTTGACAAGGAAGAAGAATGAGTGTGTTAAAAAAAACATGATCTCTAGTTCTGCTGTGTCAATTCTGATGTTGGAGAAATGCACGGACATAGCATACAAACGTCTAACAAAAGTGTATACTGTGGTAGTATAGTATTAAAAATTGAGTAAACTAACTGCACTGTAGCCTTTATGAACATTTATGAAACTGTGATAAAGGCACCATGTGTGTATCATTTATTTGGAATTGAAATACTGACATCTTGTTATTAATATGAAAATGCTTGGGGTTCTAATCTTGCTTTTCAATTTAACTGATGTATTGATGGGACATGTTCAGCTTCATGTAACGTCAGTCTGCCTGCCTTTGAATTATCCATTAAGTACAAATCTTTTTGTTTACTTTTTTACACTTTGGTAACAGATTGTTCACCTCTGTACACCTTTGAATGTTGATTTAACCCTAACCCGAGAGTAATGTTCCTCAATGTAAAATCTGGAGAAATCGATTGGATGCTCATGATCTTTGGACCCTCACAGCCGAGCATTAAAAACAGGCGTGATTCTGTCCCATATCTCATACATAAATTTTAGTCCAGAGCACGAGATGTTCATGTTTTCCAAAATGAATTGAAATTTCAATTCATCTGACCTCAGAGCAGTTTTCCACTTTTATGTTTTTTGACTCCAAGAGGAAAAGGAGTATTTGGCTTGTTATCAGTGTTCAGTTCAAAAGTCTGATGTTATGAGAACATCACAGTCTGTAGATTTGGCGGCTTATACATCTGAAAAGACACCATTAATGCTGAAAGGTACATACAGGTACATACTGTTTGCAGTCCAGATATCTCACCAATTGAAAACATTTGGAGCATCATGAAACAAAAAACATGACAAATGCAACCCATGACTCTTGAGCATCCAAGAATGGGACAACTGTCATGGTTCTCAAGATCTGGAGAGGTCGTGGTGTGTGTATTTTTTGTCTTAACCTCTCCCACCAGGGCGGAACTGGACCTTGGTTCCCCGCCTCTGAACCCACCCTGAACACACACCTGTGGCTCATTCACACTGATCCTGGCAGACTACTTAAGATGACAAGAGAGGCTGCTTCCTCGCTGGATCATCACATTACCAAGTGTCAGTGTAGCGTAGCCTATGAAAGTGTTCCTTTGATCCCCTAGAGTTTCCTCCTGACTTTGTTTTTTTTTTCTGTGTACAGGCCTTCTAGACTCCCTGCCCGTCTTCCCTGCCGTCTGGATTTCTGTGGATGTGTGTGAGTGAGCGTGAGCTTCTTAGTGTGGACATTTTTGAGTTACGGATCAAGTGGAAGAAGAGCGTGTGTGTACCCCCGTCTTGGACCTTCCCTTCGGACCCCGCCCTACTCCCTGGAGCCCCGTGTTATCTGTTCCACTGTATATATGTATATATTCTCACTTGGTGTCACATTGCAAATAAACCCTCACCTTCTCTCTAAACTTCAGAGTCCTGCGAGTGAGTCCTCTGCCTACTAATCTGTGACAACAACATTCCTCTCCCAGAATTTGAAAACTTCATATGTTCCCTATATTGTGAGTAAAATATGGGTTCATGGGTTTGTAAATCATTACATTCTGTTTTTCATTTTATACAGTGTCCCAGCTGTTTGGGAATTGGGTTTGTACATATGCTAAGCTATTTTATTTATCCAGGTGTACACATGTTTGTCAGGGAACATTTTTAATTTGCTATGGCAGACACTGATGGCAGCTTGCTCCTGTTTCAACATGGCAAATCCCACAGGCACAAATCGAGGTCAGTAAAGAAAAGGTTTTCTCAGTTGGATGAATTGGAATAGGATCTCCAGGCCAGAGTTCATCACTCTACATCCTGTTAATGCTGTCGTGTATAAATGGGAGCAAATCCCTGCCTAAAGTCTCAAAAATTGTGAAAAAGCTGCCCTGCAAAGTAGAGACTGTTATAGTAGTAGACTATTTGTCTAATGTCTATCCATCCAGTTATCCAGCCAGCTTTTTAACTGCTTATCCAACTAAGGTCACAGCTCACAAACCCATCCCAGCTCTCACAGATACAAGGTACATCCTGGGCAGGTCGCTAGTTCATCGCTGGGCTAACTCAGAGAGACAGGCATTCACAGCTAGGACCAATTTAGATTCACAACATAACATGCATGTGTGTAACCACAGCACCCCGAGAAAATGTGTTTGCACTAGTCACTCAGGTTTAAAAAAAAAAACAACATATTGGTATTTATTTTTCTACTGCATATCAAATTAAAACCATGACTGATGTTTGAGTATTCACATATTGTTAAATATATAAACATATTGATGAATATATATTGTTAAAATTTTCAATCTTCTCTTTCTCACAGTTAAGAATACATTTAGCGTTCTTGGTTTTGGCTTAAAAGAAATAAAAATCTAAAGTAAGAAAACAAATTCAATTATTAAACCATTAAAACGAAGCTCCTTTGAGACGGTGTTCAGTAATTCGAGCTGATTCTGCCGCGAGCAAAGGCTTCTACTCGGCAGGTCTACCTTATTTGAAAAAAGGGGCTGCTGTCGGCGCCCGCATTTATTCAATAAATAGTCTTTTAACTAAACTCTGATTTACATCACAACAGATTCACTTCTATTCTGAGACAAAGTAAATCTGAAAACATGCAGCAAGCTCAGTAATGTACAGTAATGGATTTCACGATGCGTCGCTCGGTTTAGAGTTTGCATTCAAGAGAAGGGATCAATAAAAACAGAAGGAAGCTTGGAGCAATGGATAAGGTTCATTGTGCACTCTGCCACTGGTTTCTAATGGCGAGTGACAGCTTTATGAGAGGATGACTTGTGTAACAATTGCACTGAGAGAATGAATACAGAGAGAAGGGAAACAGCCATCACGGCAGCCAGTGGCTCCACAGCGGGAAAGCGACCGTGGCTGACTGCCAGCTTACAGTAATACAAAGCCCAATCACTGCCTCTCCTCTGTGTCACACAGTGTGCACCAGTGTTGACAAATAAATTCAATTTCACCCTCTCTGCAGCACCTGTTGAAGCACCACTGCCACAGAACCACTGGGGTCAATCCTAACCTAAAACCATGAATATTGCCACACAAAAGTTTCCTTCTCCTTGTTGTTCTGGAGCATCCAGCTGACAGAAGCACTTTGCGTGACTCTAAACTGTCAATTCAGAAACTTGGTGAAACACAATATATTCCTGTCCTATGCAGGATGGAGGGAAATAAATGAGAGAGGCAGGGAGAGAAAACTGGCCCTTAACTGCCTCACTGAATCATAAAATCCTCCGTGCTGGTTGAATTATCGCTTCGCTCTGCCATGTGTCTTTATTTCAGCTCCTGCTGTGCACGGGCTGCACAGAGAGGATAAAAGGCAGGATTTTCAGTGTGCATTAGGTAAAAGTGTTTGATTTGGGGGATAGAGAGAGCTCAGGTAGAGCTGCGAGAGGAGGCGAGATCATCAAGGCTGAGATGACTTGAGACTGAGCAGCCATGCCCAGAGCAAGAGCATCTTGTTTGTCATCCCTCCCATGGCCTCGCAGTCAGACAGTAATCACTCACCCCGGAGTCAGAGAGAAGACGACGGGCCCGATATACAAATAAAACTCGAAGCAGAGGAGGAATTGGGGTGCTGGAGCCCAGCCACCCGCAGCCAAAGAGAGACTGCTGCCTGCTGGGTATTCTAGGCAGGGAAACATAATGGTATTCACGGCACAGAGAACCCAATATGGATTTCAGCATAGAAACTCAGCCATTAAATCCAAACTGAGGCATTGGAAATGTAACAGGGCAGACCGTGGTTATGGGAGGTTGTGATTGGCCGGCGCTGGGGTGAATGTGAATGGAGTTTTCAAAGTTTTGTAGGAACGCGTGCATTTTTCATGCAAGTATAGAGGAAGGAAGATGTGGGAGCGGGTAGCGAGAGTGTGACAGTTCATGTCTTACTTGCAATAGGTGTCATTTATCATGCCGTAGATATGGATCTCTTTGCACATGTCCATGGCGAGGATGAGCGTGAACCAGCCCGTGCTGAGGTAGGAGCCGGACTGGATCCTGCAACACACAAAGATAATGCACTGTAATATTCATTTGCATAAAAATCCTAATCATTTGCATTGAAATATAAAAAAAAAAAACAAGTTTTAAGTATGCCATTTTTCAGCCCCTTGTACACTTCTCTCTTGTGTGATTGTAATTCAGCTGATCTGAGAATTATAATTATCCTAACAGATGTTCTTAGCGTAGGCTGCTCTGGATCTGAGCCTCAGCTCAAATGTATATATATCTACAGAACAGCAAGAAAGCTGGCAGATGCATAACCATATGTCAAGTTTCACATGAGAAATGTTTCTAATTTTAGAGACCAAATAAATATTATGTACAGTGATAATTTAGGGGGTTGTAACATTCACAGTGGCTGTATATAAAAAAATTTGAGGGCTGAGAAATGCTTGATGTTGTTGATTAGCTTCATTCACAGCAGTCGTCCCCTGTGAGTGAAGCAGGCCGGTCAATAACAACATGCATTATCCTTTCATCACCATCATCATCAGACCCGTAGTTTGTGAGCTCTGACCCATCAAAGTTGAAAAAAAGTGAGCTTTGATCATTTTCAAACACAGAGCACACAGACTCAAGATTTTTTTTAAGAAACCTGATTAGTAACACCTGAAGCGGGTCATAAAATGTGCTTCCCTAGCCTCTTCCAGGCAGGGGGCCCCCCACATACCCCGAGGGCCACTCTTCTCTGCAATGCAAAACACCACCAGGAGCCTCAGACTGTGAATAAATTAAATGCAGTGCACTGCATGACACCGATAATGATAAATGAAATGGGACATGACCACCGTGTAATGCAGCATCAGTACGGAGAGGTGCAATGAAAATTCATTTAGAGCATCCAATTATACGACACCATCATTAAAATAAACAAATGAATAAATTAGGTCTGAAACTACAAATTATTTTCATTATTGTTCACTTCAGCTTATTTTTTTCTTAAAAACTGTCAGAAAACAGTGAAAGGTGTTTGTTATAGTTACGCACGTCCCGAGGAGGTGTGTTCAGATGGCTTGTTTTGTTTTACCAACAGCACAAAACCTTCAAGGACATTCAGTTCAATAACACATAGGACAAAGACGAGCTTAATAACATTTAAAAAAAAATTAAAAGCTGGAATTTTTAATTTAAAGATGACTAAAAAGATTTATTGTTAGCTTTCAGAAGTGGATATTGTGATCAAGAAAAAATAATTCCAAAAACAATAAATGTAGAGCATGACAACAGAAAGGGAGATGTAGTGGTCTTGAACACACTTCTTTACCTTCTGTAAACCACAAAAAAAAAGCACAAAACTTAATATGACAGTTGAGTTCCTTTAACATTGGTGTGCTTTGATTCTTGGTTATATTTCTGCTGTTATTATATATCAGTGTTATTTTTATATGTGGGATATAACGTCTGCACCTGTGATTTCTTCTTTATTGTGGTTATATTTATCCATCAGTTGTCACAAACACAAATGAATTCCCAAAAGGTCAGTAAAGACTACTACTGCGACTGCTATGAGCTTTCATAGTGTGGGCTCAAGATTAAGTTCAGATTATTTAGTTCTGGACAAATGACTTCTTTCTATTTCTGTTTAAAGAGGCCAAAGCTGCAGAGTTATTAATGTTAGTAGATCAGTATGTGTAAAGACAGACTTAGAAAACAAACAAATATTACATCCTTCTTGAATTAATTGAATTAATTCATTAAACCAGATTGTTTGCAGGATGTTAATTAAACCCTTTTTTGTCTCCAAATTAAAATACAAATGCAAAACCTGCAAACAATACTTTGAAGATATTGTTTCAGGGTTAGGACCATGGACAGCACTCTATTCCATTCACTAGACTTTAAAGCACACAGTGTGAACTATAGTAAAACTACTGTTGCTACATGCAAGAAGCCAGTACACAAAATGAGTCAGAAAATTTTGACAAGCAGGAACTGTGCCAATTAAACTTCACAACCAAAACCAGCTGTGTTCTGAAGTAAATACTGAGATAATCTTTTAAAAAGGGTTTCTTATGTGTTGCTTGTTTTCTGCAGATGATTTACAGTCTGATTTTTCCGTGTGAGATAAAGGTTGTATCCAAAAGCATTCACTCATTCACGCTTCTCTATTTTCTGATGATGACGATATAGTGAGCTCCCGAGGAAATTAATATTTTGGCCACCACTTCGGTCATTTTCTCATCATTCAGTTGCAATACAAAATAATAGATCATCCGCTAAATAAATAAATCAATAATAATATGATATTTGTAATGCATAAATATTGTACAAAGCATATTCCCAGTTTGATAAATACAGTTTGTGGTGTGACGCACAGTTCTCTTTCTCTGGCAATAGATACTAAATTTTTAATAGTGCAAATAGTTACTGTTATGTTGCTAAGGTCCCTCACCAAGTACGGTTGGACCAAACAAGCAAACACAACAGCACAAGAGTATCTGATTTCTCATTGAATTCCTTTTAGAAGCAAGTCTCAGAACATTTCTCTGCACTTATTCTAATGCAGCTATTTTGAAGGATAACCAAAACTAACAGTCACTGGAGCATAAAAAAAGCCTTTGGTATCATTTTTGATATATACACACTACCAGTTCTTTTTTTTTTTTTCTTTCTTTTTCTTTTTTTTTTTACTACTTTCTACATTGTGGATACATTAACCATATGAAGCAACATATATGGAATTATGGAGCAAAGAAAAATATGATAAATAACTCTAAATATGGCTTATATTTTAGATTCCTGAAAGTAGCAATGCTTTGATTTGTTGATCGTGCTGCATACCCTTGGCCTTCGCTCAGTGAGCTTCATGAGGCAGTAGTAGTAGTTTTCATGTCACAGGTGTACCTCGTCAGGGTTCATTTGGAATTTCTTACCTTCTTAATGGGATTGGAACCAATAAGCTAGGTAAAGAGCAAGTCCATCATTACTTTAAGAAGTGAAGGTCAGTCAAACTTTCAATGTGTCCCCAAGTGCAGTTGGAAAAACATCAAGCATTACGACAAAACTGGCTCACAAGAGGACCGCCCCAGGAAAAGAAGACCGAGAGACACCAGCCTCAGAAATCACAAGTTAACAGCATCTCAGATTAGAGCTCAGATAAATGCCACACAGAGTTCCAGTAGCAGACACATCTCTACATAAACTGTTCAGAGGATTCTGCGCAAATCGGCCCTTTATGGTCAAACAGCTGCTAAGAAGCCACAAGTAAGGAAAAGCAACAAGCAGAAGAGATTTCTTTGGGCCAAGAAACACTAGGACATTAGACCAGTGGAAATCTGTGCTTTGGTGTAATGAGTCCAAATTTGACTTCTTTGGTTCCACCTGTGGGGTCTTTGTTTGACGTAGAAAAAGTGAATGGATGGTCTCTACATGCATGGTTCCCACCGTGAAGCATGGAGAAGGTGTGATAGTGTGGAGGTGCTTTGTTGGGGATTTATTCAAAATTGAAGGCACACTGATCCAGCATGGCTAGCACACAGCATCCTGCAGCGACACACAATCCCAATCATTTTGCGTTTAGTTGGACCATCATTTATTTTTCAACAGGACAATGACCCCGAACAAACCTTCAGGCTGTGTAAGGGCTATTTGACCAAGAAGGAGAGTGATGGTGCTGCGCTAGATGGCCTGGCCTCCACAGTCTCCTGACCTAAACCCAGTCGAGATGGTTTGGAATGAGATGGACCACAGAGTGACGACAAAAGGACCAACAAGTGCTCAGCATCTCTGGGAACTCCTTCAAGACAGTTGGAAAACCATTTCAGGTGACGACCCCATGAAGCTCATCGAGAGAATGCCAAGAGTGTGCAAAGCAGTAATCAAAACAAAGGGTGGCATTTTTTTAAGAATCTAAAATATAAACATGTTTTGAGTTATTTCACACTCTTTTGTTTATCACATAATTATATAAGTGTTCATTCATAATTGTGATGCCTTCAGTGAGACTCTACAATGTAAAATACTCATGAAAATAAAGAAAAACTTTTAATGAGAAGGTATGTCCAAATCTTTGACTGTTAGTGTATATGCATATAAAATAATCAAAATTAAATGTATGAATGCTGAATTAATGTTTTAATGTTTATCTGTATCTGCTCCATGGGCTACAGCTTAACAGCATAATAGCTCTCTCTGTTATGGCACCTCTGACGAAGCAATCAAAAACAGCAACACCGAGCAGATCATCAGAATCAACCCCTGACCACAGCAGAATGTAGGCTCATAGCCCAAATACAATTTCTTTGCTGGCTTGAGAGCTCGGAGCTAACATCTGTCAAGGCAGCAGTTGAAAATGCATTGCATGATGAACAGCTTCAATTCAGCTCAATTGGGTTTTTTTTTTTATATAGCGCCAACTCACAACAATAGTCACCTTAAGGTGCTTTATATTGCAAGGTAAAATCCTTCAGTTCTGATAGAAAACTCCAACAATCAAAGCCAATTCCATGTGAAAAAAACACTTTTGGAGTATCAGGGTGAGGTAAGACCAGTTTTTCATTGCTCTGCTACTGCACAGTAGCCAAAAATGCACATCAGCCTGTTATTAACTGAAAGTTGGTGATCCAGTGCAATTTATTTGTCTGTAAATAATGTGTAAGTGAATGTTTTTAGATATTTTCGCTTGGAGATATTTTCATAATAGTCGGTGCATAGCTGATGCTGTATGGTGTTTGCTTATTTTGTGAATGCTTATTATTAGATCATCACTGGCTCTCCCAGAAAATAATAGTGTCTGTGAGCATTAAAGTAAAGACAGCGTGCTTGCAGGCATTGTATTTTCGTTATGTGCTGAATTTGCCAATAATAATACAGTCCATGTATATGTGTGTAGCTTAGAACTTGTGTAGATTTCTTAGGTAGTTATTATTTTACGGGAAAATGTTGGATTTTTATTAGACATTTAATATTTTTTTCTAATAAGGGCATATATAAAGACAAACATCTGCATAGAAAACACCATAAGGACAAAAGCTTTAGCCACGAAGCTCCTGGCA